ATCCCTGGGCCTTTGCATTGGCTGTTCCCCATGGCTCAAACAATATTCTTCCCAACCTCCTACTCTTATGATCCTTGACTCTTTTTAAGATTCAATTCAAATGCCACCTTCTCTAATTACCTGGCGCTTGTCAGTTGCTTTGGCTATCATCTCTATGGATATCATTGATCTTTTCCATATGTTCTGTATTTATCTTGTATGTTCTGGTTTATTTATGTTGTCTCTTTTATTAGAAAGTAATCTTCTTGAGGGCAGGGTCTACTTTTGCTCTTTCATTGTATACCCAACACTTAACACAGAGCCTGGAAGACAGTAATGCATAAAAGAGCTTGTTGATTGGTTGATATTTAAAGCCCTTCACAACCTAGCCACAACCTTCCTTCTTGGCTTTATTATATATTGTTCTGTTTCATGAATACTACAGTTCAGTCAAATTGGCCTTTTTACTAGTTTTTACACATAGAATCCCATCCTCCATCTTTATGCCTTGGATTGGATATTCTCCTTGTCTGACAATGTACTTTTCCTTGTTTGAGTCTTGGAATCCCTAACTTCCTTCAAAGCTTAGTTCAAGGTTACATCTTACATGAAGTTTTTCCTGACATCCCTAGATGCAAGTGCTTTATTCATAAATCATCTTCCATCTATTTTATCCATAATAACACACAAAGGGGCAGTTACATGATGCAGTCAGAGGGCCAGCCCTGGAATCAGGAGGACCTGAGTTCAAATCTAACCTCAGACACTTACTAGCTGTGTGACCCTGGGTAAGTCACTTGGCCTGGTTTGCTTCAGTTCCCTCTATCTGTCAAATGAGCTGGAGGGGGAAATGGCAAACTGCTCTGGGACCTTTGCCAAGAAAACCCCAAATGGGATCACAACGAGTTAGAAGTGACTGAAATGACTCAAAGTTACTTTTATCCATTAGGGATAGTGGTATTCAGAGGACAGAAGGCTTTAAACTTGGGGTGATCAGCAAAGACTTCATGGAGGACATGGCAATTAAGATTTATAGGCAGTGGGGAAGACATATGGGGAACAGAGAATGAAATGATTAAAGGCAAGTAGGCAGAAGGCCTGTATAAGAACTTACTTCTAGGCCAATCAGATTGGAAATTAGGATATGTGTGTAGGTAATGGTGAATCTGAATAGGTAGCATGAAGGGCCTTAAATGCTAGGCTAAGGAGTTTGGACTTATATAGTTGGCAATGGGAAAATAGTGAAAGTTTCTGAGTTGGTAGATGGTGTAATCAGAATTGGATTTTAGGATGATTAATCTGATAGTATAGGATAGAATGGAGGTAGGAGAGATTGGAGTGTGTGCGTGTGTGTGTGTGTGTGTGTGTATGTGTGTGTGTGTGTGTGTATGTATTTGTGTATGAGAGAGCCAGAGAAACAGAGCCAGAATCAGACAGAGACAAAGAAAAGGAAGGAGAAGAGGGTATGAAAACAGAGGGGAAAAGAAACCAGTTAGGAGGCTATTTTAATGGTCAAGGTATTGTAATTATAGGGGCAGCTAAGTGGCACAGTGGATAGATAGAGCACCAGGCTTGAAGTCAGGAAGACTTATCTCTCTGAGTTCAAATCTGGCCTCAAATACTTATTAACTGTGTGACCCTGGGCAAGTCACTGAACCCTGTTTGTTTCAGTTTCCTTTTCTGTCAAATAAGGTGGAGAAGGAAATGGCAAACCATTCCGATATCTCTGCCAAGAAAACCACAAATGGTGTCAAGAAGAATCAGATATGACTGAGCAAGATTACAATTATAAAGCCAACATTTATATTTTACTTTAAAGTTTGAAAAATGCTTTACATTTATTATTCTACTTGATTCCCATGACAACCCTGTGCAGCAGGTACTAATATTACCTCTATTTTATTTTATTTTATTTTGTTTTGGTGAGGCAATTGGGGTCAAGTGACTTGCCTAGGGTCACACAGCTAGACCCCCATTTTATAGAGGAAGAAACCAAGTGACATTTTCAAACTCACACAAAAAGTGTCTGAGGTGGAATTTTAATTTGCATCTTCCTGATGCTAAATCCAATGATCTTCCTTTCATGAAATGAAAAGGGTCTGAACTAGTACGGTGTTAGTGGAAATGGAAGGGAGATAAGATGCTTGAGAATGTCATAGAGGATGAATAGATAGGACTTGATGGCTGATTGAATGTAACTGGTGAATGGAAGGGACAAGTCAAAAATGACTTCAAAGCCTTTATCATGGATGACTACTCTGTTCCTTGGTGGGTGCAGCAAAGCAAACAGGGAACCATGATCAGCCCATCCCACTAGCAGACAACTTCCCTTCATGGTTCTTTCACTCTAATGCACTCCGGACTGATTTCTCTGGCTTTAGACCCACTGCCACAAGCCCTATTTCCTGCATCACAGTTTTGGATTTAGTTCTCCAGTCATTTTGGCTGAGCTCAATCTAGACTTGGTTTCACTATCTCAGATTTTGCCTAAGATTACACTTTCTTTTCCCCAGGAGGATCTTTCCTTTAGTGGCAATTGTCTCTCCTTTATTACCCAACAGCCCTTTTGGGGCCAGAGGTCTGATGCTGTGAAAGATTACTGTTAGAAACATCTAGAATGCAAGACTATGGCAACACTCCTATCATTTTATGGCTATTTCTCTAGAACACAAATGTTGAAGAGCTGTTGGGGTGATTAGTAAGGAATAAACTTGGTTCGGGCATGCTCCTGGGGAAGGTGAGCTTTGAATTCACTTTTCATAGAAAGAGGCCCCCCAAATATCAGGATTCCTTTTTCTCCTGGAGTTTTCTATCTTGCCTGCTCTCTCATAGGTCTCTGATATTGTTTTCTCATTCAGAATATTTTATAAGCACATCAGTTTGATCAAGTCTAAAGATTTATAGGTAGTGGGGAAAACATCAGGCAAAGAAAATGAAGTGAGTGAAGATGAGTAGGCTGAAGGCCTGCATAAGAACTTATTTTTAGACCAATTTTAACTTCTATCTCAGGCAAGAGAACCTAGCTTTGTGCAAAGAAAGCACTTTATGTATTTTGTAGAATTGAAGCTCTTTGCTTGTAGGTCTCTGAAGAGTATGTAGGAAAATGTCACTTTGCAAAGTCCTAACATTTAACCTTCAGTAAGTAAATGCCCAATTCTCAGGTAGAGAACAGCAGAGAAGACAGGAAGTGTCTGTTTGTAGTAAGGTGAGAGTAAAAGATGAGGATACAACTTGCTATAGTGGAAAGAACATTGGCTTTCTGAAGTAAGAATACCTATGTTAAATACTGCTTTTTATCTAATGTGAATTTAGGCAAGTCCCTTAATCTCCTTGGGCCTTGGTTTCATCATTCCTAAAATGAGGACTAGGGATGGACTATGAGGTCCTTTCCAGCTCTGGATTTATGATCCTAAGTGAGCAACAAAGAACTTCCTAATTAAGCAATAAAGAATGTGGGAGTGGAGAAAAATTGGGTAGAAATAAAGTTAAGTGAATTGTGTATTTTTTCTGCTCTTCCCTTCTTTCATATTTTATTGTTTAATCTTTTTCATCTGTCCATTTTTTTCTGCCTGTCTACTCCTGGGCTCATTTCCTAGGGAAAAAAATTAATTCTTGTTTTTTAGGATTTTATTATGAATGTTTTGCAGAAGAGTCATGAGCTCCCCAGAATTTGCAGACCAAGGTCAGATTCATCCCTTTTGAATCAGAATGTATGAATTCGAGATAGAGAGCCTCACGGTTTAAACAAAGAAACAAGATAGCTGACAAACTGCTTTCTTAGATGTGGACTGTGATAGGGAGAAAGGGAAGATAAAGAAAAGTGAGATGATTAACTAGAAACGGAAGAGAGACTAGCCTTGATGCAGCAGCCAAAAAAGTAAAAAAAAAAAAAAAAGTCTTACAGTAAAGGCAGATTCAGAGGACAAGAGTTTGAATGCATAATGTCACTTCTTGCAATTTACTCCACCTATCCAGGCTAACAATTTCCTCATCTATAAAAGGAATAGGTTACTTTTAATGACTTTGGTGGTCTTTTCTAGATCTCTAAATTAGCAAATCAAAGATTCTATGTGTGCTAGAGTGTTTTGGAGTTTTTAAGGGGGCAGAGTGAGGTGGGGTGGGAGTGTGTGGGGGATGTTAGGGAAACTGTGGGTAGTTGCAGTGAGGAGATAGTTGTGGGTCCTGACTCTTACTGGCTTGGAGGACTTGACAGTATGTGATTCTCAGCAACAAATGTCAGTGCAGGAACACACACACACACACACACACACATTCACTTACGGACCAAGCAGGAGCACACATGTACACACACACACACACACACACATGCTTAGACACACACACACAACAACCCCGCCTCCAATTTCAGTGCTGGCAGGGGATAACAATTCTCAGCTCCTCTTTCCAGGGTTATTTTTGGCCGAGGCTGCTAGCTGATGGCAAAAGGTTTCAGCCCCCTCTCAAACCCCTCCCTGCCCTTGTTCAAAAGAGAAACCCGTGCGTGCAACGGTGCACTCCTGGGGAGACTGGGAGAAAGGAGCGAACAAGTGGGAGGGCAGGAACGGCAGGAGGTGGGGAGGGGATTCTCCTGAAATTCTCACCCCGCTCTCTCCCTCCCGCCACCCCCACCCCACTCCCTGCCTAAGTTTTAAGGAGGAGTTTGGTGGAAAGGAGAGCCCCAGTGGGAGGGTTGTAAAGGGCGGACACGGCCTAGAAGGCGTCCCGGGAGGAAGGAGGGGTGTGTAGGGAGGGGAGTGTGTTGGAAACCCCTAAGGAGAGTACAGCTGCTTTTCCCTGCCGGGAAGAAACCGGGTCCAGAGAGGGCAGGCGGGCTGCCTCAGAGGGCAGGGGGACACTTCCCCGGAAGGCTGCGGCCAAACTCTGCGGGGCAGGATCAGGGAGAAGGCGGGACGAGGGGGTGGGGGGTGGGAACATCTGGACACACCGCTGTACTCCAGGGGAGAGTGGGAGGTGAGGGGGTACCCAGCTGGGGAAAGGGAGAGAAGTCTAGGCTGGGGAGGGAGGAGTCGCAGCTCTCGCCAGGTTACAGGGGTAATCGGGGCCAGTGGCCCAGAGCTTTCGGGCCAGCTCTCACCGCCAGGGCTAGCAACGAGCAGGGATAGGCAGCAATGGAGGGGAGCCCCATACCGGTGCTGACGGTGCAAACCGCGCCCTACGAGGACCAGAAGCCGACGGGGGGCGGGGGGCTGCGCCGACCCACCGGCCTCTTCGAGAGCCAACGCAACTACCTGCCCAACTTCGTGCAGAGCGTGCTGTCGTCCATCGATCTCCGAGACCGCCAGGGCTGCACCATGGTGGTGGGCAGCGACGGCAGGTACTTCAGCAAGGCGGCCACCGAGATCGTGGTCCAGATGGCCGCGGCCAATGGGGTAAGTGTTGGGGCGGTGGATACCCTCCTCCTTCACCTCCTTGATCACGTCCTGCCTCAGCTTCCTCCACGTTGCATCTCCAGGTATCCTGATACGGCGCCTTCTCTCTATCGCTACTCTACCCTCCTTTACTCTTTACTCACTCATCTTCACTGCCATTCACGTTTTGCCCTGACTTTGATTCCCACTCGAGCCCTCTTTCCCACTCTTATATCCTATCTTTATCATCCCTGTCATACACCCTTTCCTCATCCCATCTTATTAAGGTTTCACTTAGTATGTGCTACCTAAATCTAATTTTCCTAGTGCACTGTGCCTCATTCTGCCCTCCCGTCTAAGTATCCTCAGCCCAACTCTCCTTCTCATTACTTTTCTTGATTTACAGCAAAGTCCCCCCCCTTCCACCTCCGGCTCCCATAAACCACTCCCTAGCCTCCCCCCAGTTTCTTTTTATTTTGGTTACACCGCTCTACTTTTCCTTGTACTTTCCCCAGCCTCTTAAGGGAAGAGCCCTGGCCTCCCAGGCAGGAGAACTAGTTCTAGTCTCAGCTCTTCCTTTCAGTATAAAACTGACCCTCAGTTTCCTCGTCTGCTCATTTGTAAAATGAGGGAACTGGACTGGATGATTCCATGTTTATGGCACTCAACCTAGAGCATCATTTTACAACTCCCTTTCCCTCCTGCAGTTTCTGTCCCCCAGAGATTTCTCTAGCTTATTTGGCCTCTGAAACCACTGTCGATACTCATCTGTGTTAAGGTAATGGAGACTGTTAAACGGATAGGCTTTCTTTAACCACTCATTTGTTCAAGGTGGGATGGGGACAGACTCTGAGGTATCATGCTATATACTAGCCATAGATGACATATAGAACATATCTGTAAGTGGATTGAGAAGAGATATACACAATGATTAGGTTATAAATCTAAAAAAAAAGAGTGATCCTAAGTCTTTCTTGTCATAGACTTTCTCTTGACATTTAATTTATTACCTTGTGAACTACTTGAAGGCAAGCAGTATTTTTTTTTTACCTCTTTGTATCTTTAGCATTAGCAAAGAGCCTGGTACATAGGAGGCATTTAGTAAATGTTTATTGACTGACTGCTTCAACAAATTCATGAATTCTCTCCCCACCCACCTTGGAGTTTTCATGGTTATTTTCTTTCACTTCAATATCAATGTTCCTCTCCAGTATGTACCTGTAGGCCTTCATTTTTTCTTATTTTCCCTTCCCCACATGGTCACAATTTCCCCATTCTTGCTTTTTTATTATCCTTTCAGTTTACATTCTGAGAACTTGTGAACATCTTGGATAATCCTGTAAGAACATCTTAGAGCTCCAGGGACTCCAATACCTAAATCTTTATTTTTTAGATGGAATTGTTCTAAAACCATTTTAGGAGCTGTTGGTAAGACCAGACCTATCCTAGTGAAACTCTTCTTTATGAGAAATTTCTTTACCTCTTCATGAGCAAGAACGAGCCTCTTTAAAAGGGAAACAAAACCTGTTAGTGAATGCTTTTTCTTTCTTTCTCCTCCCCTTCCCCTCTTATTTTCTCACTGTTGATTTTATTAAAAAGGTTAACTTTCTGGTAGTGTGTGCTTCATGCTTAACCTTCCTAAGCATTCTACTCAATATTTTAGGGAGTTTAGAAGTATTTGATGAATAACCAGAGAGCCTGGAGAAAACAAGGGGGGTAGTTGTGAAGGATGACCACAGTAGACAACATTGCTTTTGGGATACAGTGCTTACCTGTCTCTCTGTCTCCTCACTTGGGATTGATGAAAGTTGGCTTTAAGCAAGGAGTTGGAGGGAAGCTGATAAATGGGCTTTTACTCTGGTCTGACAAAACCATTCCCTGTGGAATGATTGAGGATAACTACCTTGGGGAGATGTACGGCTTTCATACTCCTTCTTGGGCCAATTTTTCAAGGGAATGAGAGCAAGGGAGCCTGTCTGCTGCTGACTGCACACAGGGATATTTTTGATGTCACTCTCGGTTGATTTGCATGGGAAATTTCCTAGTTTCCTTTATTGTAAGGGCTCCTGAGCTTCTGTTGAAAGTTTAGGCTTCCTAATCCAGTAGTTTTTAAGGATGTGCTGCAAATTTCCAGAGGCATGCTATGAGAATTTTGATATAGTATTTTAGATAAAAGAAAATTTATAAATTTTGTTTAGTATAACTTTTACTTACTCAGCACATGGATTGGTATGGTATTTGCAAAAGAAATAAAACTTGTCTGTTACATGCATGCATCAAACTCAAAAGCTGCCACATGATGAGCTTGCAAAGAACTCATCAAAGCAGCTCCTCTTGTTGAAAAGAAACAATTGTATAAGTCTCTTGACCACCCCCTTGTGTTGCCAACTTGAAAATTCAATGTCCTTTTATTTCTCACGGTGAAAGATACTGCGACACAAGCAAAAAAAAAAAAAGGAAAAAAAAACTTTGAAAACTATCGTCCAAATCTATAGCCCTGGTTCTAACCTCTTCCCAGAGCTCTAAGATTATGTCTCCAACTGCTTGCACAACATATCCACCTCCTAAATGTCTTTCCAGCACCTCCAATGCAAGAATTGCCCAGTTGTGTCTCCTCTAAACTTGCCCTCCTGTTGTTGAAGGCACAATTATCCTCCAAGTCATCCTGCCTTGAAACATCAGTTATTTTTAATTCTTCCCTCACCTACCTTCCTCAGATTCTAATCAGTCTACCTCCGTAACACTTCTTATATCTGTCCCCCCACCCCTTCCATCCTAATAGAAAGAACCTAATTGCTTCTTACCTGGTCTATCGTAATAGTACAGAACTAACTAATACATCCCTTTTCTAATCCGTTCTTCACACTCCAACCCTGATAGTCTTTCTAATGCACTACTCTGGGTTTGTCACTTTTCTAGTCCAGAACCTTCAGAGGTTCTCCATTGTATAGTGCCTGGCATATGGCAAGCACTTTAAAAATGTTTGTTGATTTGATTTAATGAATAAAGTACAAAGCAATAAAGCAGGAAAGGACTTATGAAATTATATTGGGAAAAAGAGGATCAAAGTGGGGATAGTATCACTGCTCAGGTGGATGAGATAACAACTGATGATGGAGCTAAGATAGTTCCATTCAACTTTTATTTTGTTTTATATATGTGTATGTATGTATGTATGTACGTATGTATATATGTACGTGTGTGTGTGTGTGTGTGTGTGTATTTAAGAGCAGTTAGATGGCACAGTGGATAGAGTGCCAGGCCTGGAGTCAGGAAGATTCATATTTTTGAATTCAAATCCAACCTCACTTACTAGCTCTGTGACCCTGGGCAAGTCACTTCACCCTGTTTGCTCAGTTTTCCCATCTGTCAAATGAGCTGGAGAAGGAAATGGCAAGCCACTCAAGTATCTTTGCTAAGAAAACCTCAAATTGGGTCAGGAAGAGTCAGATGTGACTGAATGACAAATTTTTAAACTTTTTAAATAGAATAATCTTTGAACTGAAACAGAGAGCAAAATTGGCTAACAGAGTTGAACCTCACTATTAATAAGCAGGAGATAACAAGAGAGCTCCAACTGTCTTTGATGAGTCTGAGTCATTAGGCTCTGAAAAATTTCATCCCAATCTTGAAAGAACTGGCAGATGTGATTCTGGAGCTACTATTAGTGATATATAAAAGACCTTAGATCAAAAATCTAAAACTACAAGGGACCTCAGAGGCCATCCAATTCAACCCTCAATTTTTCAGATGAGGAAAATGAGATCCACAAGGTTAAGTGAATTGTTCAAGATTACATCCCTGTTCAGTCATTTTCAGTTGTGTCTTACTCTTCATAATTCCATTTGGGGTTTGAATGCAAAAAGATGAGTCTTCCTGATTCCAAACCCAGTGCTCTATCCACATCACCACCTATCTACCAAGATTATGTAGGTAGTAGAAATCCAAGGTGAGATTAATAATAGTTAACATTTACATAGCACTTAATATGAGTCAGGTGCTTTGCTAAGTGCTCTACAGTTCTCATTTATCTTCACAATAACTCTGGGAAATAGGTATTACTATTATCCTCATTTTATAGGTGAAGAAACTGAGGCAAATGAAGATTAAGTGACTTTCCCAGGGTCACACAGCTAGTAAGCATCTGAGGCTGGATTTGAACTCAGGTTTTCCTGACTCCAAGCCTGGTGCTCTATCTACCATACCACCTAGCTGCCTTTAGAACTCAGGTCACCTGAATCCAGAGCCAGTGTTGTTTCCATATGCCATGCTGAATAGGTCAGGTTCTGCACGATTGGAAAAAAATATTTAGATTTTCAAAGAAGGAAAGATGATGGAGTCTATAAACTCTGGAGTAGTAAATCTGAATTCAATCCTCAGTTAAAATCTAGAATGCCTTGTCAAAGAGATGGTTAGTGACTCTAGAAGAGGAAAGAGTAATCACAGAGAAGATGTAACAACACCACCAAAAGCACGTCGTGTGAGTTAACTTCATTCTTTTTTTTGTCTATGTTACCAGAATATCAGCAGAGCATTTGATAATGTCTCTCATGATACTCTTGTGGACAAGATAGACAGGTGTGGTGGATACAGGATAACCTTTCAGATTCGAAGAGTACTCATCAATGATTCAATGTCAACTTGGAAGGAGGCCTCTAGTGAGTCTCCTAGGAAACTATCCTTGGCCTAGTGCTATATATCATTTTTATAAATGACTTGGATAAAGGCATAGGTGGCATTCTTTGAAGACTTTCAGAAGACACTTAGTAGGAGGAGGAAAAGCTGATACTTCAATTAATAGAGCTAGGATCTCAAAAATATTAAAACAGTTTAGAAAGTTGGGCCAAATCCAACAAGTCAAATTTAACAGGGGCAACTGTAAAGTTCTACACTGGCTAAAAAATAATAAAAACCCCAAAAGAGCAACAATAAAAAAAATCCCATTTTACATAGTTAGATAGCAGTTCATTTGAAAAATGATTTGGGAGTTGTAAGGGATTGTAAACTAAAAATGAGTCAAC